TGAGTAGGATCATCGTGTCTCAAACAGGGGGTCGTGGAGTGGTGGTCCAGCAGGAGTCACGGAAGCGTTGTGTGTGGGGACATCTCAGGGGATGCGGGGATACCAATCTCCCAAGCAAAGTCATATCCAATGATGATACGGGCAGCAATCACGTCCATTTTCCGCGACCCTTTCTCATAAACATACGAGAGGTCAGGAAGTTTACGGAGGACATCGTACCAGGTGGGCGGGGAGACCAGGGGGGTGGCTGCTTCCCGAGCTTCTCTCTGTTTGCGGCGAATTTGGGTCCTAAGCTGCAAAAGTGTTCGAGGAACAACGTAGTCAGGTGTGGCCTTGTTGCAGCGAGTCTTGGCAAGGCCATCTGCTGCCTCATTCCCCAAGATACCGACATGACTGGGTATCCATAGGAATGTCACAGGACGGCCTGCATCCTGAAGTGTGGATGTTAACCCTCGTATTCGGAGGGTGAGGTCCTTATTTTCTCCTGATCCAAATGCGATCCCGTCTAGAGCAGACCTGGAAACGGAGCAGGCAAGCAAGGGGCATCTCACTCTCCTCTACTGTATATATTAGCCTTCTCAAGTATTTCTCCTTAGTCTGTACTCACCCCTGAAGATGTGAATTACACGAAAGCGCTTGGAAACTTCGTGTTTTCTTGTTTCCTTGCGGTTATCAGCATATACTTTGATCACACGCACCTACAGTGATTTACTTGCATATATATATATATATATATATATATATATATATATATATATATATATATATATATATATATATATATATATATAATATATATATATATATATATATATATATATATATATTTCATGTAGATCACAATGAAAACGTGGATAAGATAAATCTTGAATAAAGACGAAAGCTAAGGTGCTCCTTGTTTCCCTCCCTTGTGATTTTATCTATATATATATATATATATATATATATATATATATATATATATATATATATATATATATATATATATATATATATATATATATATATATATATATATATATATATATATATATATATATATATATATATATATATATATATATATATATATATATATACTGGAAACATAACGGTTGCTACAAAAACAATTTACTCGTGTTTTCTCACAACTGTCAGTGTGTTTGAGTAATATCCCCTTTGATTTTAAAATTAATATTTTTCCCTATGAAAAGCTGCAGCTGTATCGGACATGAATTTAATCAGAGATGAACAAATTCATTTGAAATAGTGTAATTAATGGTCGCCTAGGCAGCCGCTGTACGTGTGTGTGTGTGTGTGTGTGTGTGTGTGTGTGTCTGTGTGTGTGTGTGTGTGTGTGTGTGTGTGTGTGTGTGTCTGTGTGTGTCTCTGTGTGTGTGTGTTATCAAGGTTTAATGTTAATGTTACATAAATTTAATATCTCGCACGAGCTAACATTCCAGTAATCAGATGAAACACTACAACGCTCTGTTATAATTCTTAGTAATTAATTAGTTATCAACATCCCTCCTCTTTAACACACACACTCCCTTAAGTAACCTAACCTAACCTAAAGTAACCTAAGCTAAGTTAACCTAACCTCAGCTAAGTTAACCTCAGCTAAGTTAACCTCAGCTAAGTTAACCTCAGCTAAGTTAACCTAAGCTAAGTTAACCTCAGCAAACTTAACCTAACTTAACGTAACCAAAAATAGCTTAACAACATAACCAAGCATAACCTAACCTAACGTAAAATAATCTATCCTAACCTAACTTAACCTTGAACTGACATTTCCAGGTAGAGCTGTACGAGCAAGGTATAAATATGCCCTTGACATTTAATTCAGCCGAAGGAATTTCTAACAAGATTTAAACAACAATTTATCAAAACAAATGTCTATCAGTGTCAGTCGTAGGGATGTATGGCTCACCTTACCTGTCCTGTGTGTAATTATGTCTAGTATGGCTCACCTTACCTGTCCTGTGTGTAATTATGACTAGTATGGCTCACCTTACCTGTCCTGTGTGTAATTATGTCTAGTACGGCTCACCTTACCTGTCCTGTGTGTAATTATGACTAGTATGGCTCACCTTACCTGTCCTGTGTGTAATTATGTCTAGTATGGCTCACCTTACCTGTCCTGTGTGTAATTATGTCTAGTATGGCTCACCTTACCTGTCCTGTGTGTAATTATGTCTAGTATGGCTCACCTTACCTGTCCTGTGTGTAATTATGTCTAGTATGGCTCACCTTACCTGTCCTGTGTGTAATTATGTCTAGTATGGCTCACCTTACCTGTCCTGTGTGTAATTATGTCTAGTATGGCTCACCTTACCTGTCCTGTGTGTAATTATGTCTAGTATGGCTCACCTTACCTGTCCTGTGTGTAATTATGTCTAGTATGGCTCACCTTACCTGTCCTGTGTGTAATTATGTCTAGTATGGCTCACCTTACCTGTCCTGTGTGTAATTATGTCTAGTATGGCTCACCTTACCTGTCCTGTGTGTAATTATGTCTAGTATGGCTCACCTTACCTGTCCTGTGTGTAATTATGTCTAGTATGGCTCACCTTACCTGTCCTGTGTGTAATTATGTCTAGTATGGCTCACCTTACCTGTCCTGTGTGTAATTATGACTAGTATGGCTCACCTTACCTGTCCTGTGTGTAATTATGTCTAGTACAAGAATGTAAAGTACGTCCCCCACATGATTGCTTCATTGTGTTCCTGAGAAGACTTACATCAACATGGGTTTTCTCTGATGTGTGTGTGTGCGTGTGTGTGTGTGTGTGTGTGTGTGTGTGTGTGTGTGTGTGTGTGTATTATCAGGTACTACTACAACAATTAACAGCAGTAATGGTAATTATTATAATATCAATATAATAATGGCAAAGATGCTATCAGTCATAATAATAATAATAATAATAATAATAATAATAATAATAATAATAATAATAAAAGTCTGGTAAACATATTTGACATTTCTTCTGATTTATTTTTCTTTAATAGAGCACAAAAAAAACCTCTTTACCCTAATATTACATCATTTCAAACCCCAACATAATTCCATTTACACCCAACTTCCGATGATATGTTACACAGAACACGAACAGAGATAAACAGTGAACAACTCTAAAACAAATGAACAAACAAAACTAGCCATTGCATTCCGATATTTGACTCCAGTTTGTGTGAGAGAGAGAGAGAGAGAGAGACTATACCTGTTTACAGAAAAAAAAATATATTGTTGATTTCACTTTGTTCTAATTAGTTGGCGTGCGTGAAACAGTAATTCCCAGTGTAAAATTTGGAGCTGATAGTAGAGTTGTTTGTGTGGTTGGCTGGAACGAGTGATTCATTTATCATTATTGTGTTATTATTTGTGGTTAAGGGCATCACACGTTATGTTACCTTAATGACCCTACACCCGGTGGTTTATTTCAGGTATTATTATTATTACTGTTATTATTTTTATTTAATCAAATAATTACATTTATCTATCAAACTTTATAAAAAAAACACTTCCCTCTGCGTATTCTAATGTAATATTTCGAAAAGAAATATATTGAGCCATTACAGCATTTTAAAAATATTTATTTTTCGTTTTACAGGTTTATTCAAGTGATCATTTGATTATATATATATATATATATATATATATATATATATATATATATATATATATATATATATATATATATATATATATATATATATATATATATATATATATATATATATATATATATATATATATATATATATATATATATATATATAATTGAGGCAGGTGTGTGTGACAGAAGTACTTGGCATCTCTAGGTGAAGCAGCAAAAAAATTACAAAAAATAAACACAGGGCTTATTTACATATCTGAACATCTTTAATTATTCTGTTTGTGGCCAAGTCCAGTGATGTGTGCAATATGTACACCATCTTATTATATATATATATATATATATATATATATATATATATATATATATATATATATATATATATATATATATATATATATATTTCATATAGATCCACAATGAAAACGTGGATAAGATAAATCTTGATAAAAATCACAAGGGAAGAAACAACGGAGCACCTTGGCTTTCGTCTTTATTCATATGAAGATGTCTTGATTAAACACAAGCTAAGGTGCTCCGTATATATATATATATATATATATATATATATATATATATATATATATACATAAATATATATAAATATATATATGTAAATATATATATATATATATAAACATATATATAAATATATATATATATATATATATATATATATATATATATATGTATATAATATATATATTTATATATATTTATATATATATATGATCAACACCTCAACCACGCCAGGATTGAACCTGACCCACAAACCCCATGACTGTGACAGGGGAATGCTAGCGTTCCCTGAGGTCACAGTCATGTGAAACTATGAGTCGAATCTAACTTGAATTAACGTGTTTATTGGGCTAATTTAAGTATATATATATATATATATATATATATATATATATATATATATATATATATATATATATATATATATAATATATATATATATATATATATATATATATATATATATATATATATATATATATATTAAATAGATAGATAAATAGGATAACTGATGTGATCAATGCCATAACTGAAACACAACTGCAGAACGTTTCTATGGAACTTCAACATCGTACTGTGCTTTGTATCCGTAATGATGGTGGATATGTTGAAACGTAGTAATCTTAAGATTAAAGATACTTAGACTTGAGTAAATTACCTCTCCAATATATCTTACAAATTGCCTTTATCTCCTATAGAACCTAAGTTATTTATAGTTTAAACTGCACCAGAACTTTAACGAGGAATTATTACATCCCACCGTCTCTCTCTCTCTCTCTCTCTCTCTCTCTCTCTCTCTCTCTCTCTCTCTCTCTTTATCTCTTTAAGGACTAGTTCTACATGGGGACTTCAATAATTCACTATGACCCTTGTCCTTGCAGGAAGATGGCCGGCGGTGGCAGCGGAGGCGGGGTGGGGCCTCGAGGTGGCCTGGGTGATGGTGCTAGGACGGGGTTGGACCAGCGAGGAGGACAGGGCACTACGATACAGTGTGGACCACACCAGTACCGCCTCGGCCTGTACGGGTGGCGGCGACGCTGCCTCTACGCCTTGGTCCTCCTTCTGCTGGTGATGGTCATCCTTAACCTCGCCCTCACCCTCTTCATCCTCAGGGTCCTCGACTTTACTATGGTGAGTGTAAGGGAACCTACACTACATGTAAGGTTTAATGTGGCAATAGAAAACTTGGCCTGACCACCATCACCGGCGAACAGGTACGACACTTATTATATTATTATACTTAAATGGTATAGCGGGGGGTTCATAGTTGTGTGTGTGTGTTCCCACTCCTGCAATAATAACAACACTAACAAACAGTAACACTGGACTCAACACACGTAAGAAGAGTATTGTGTAAAGTATGAGAACAGCTGCTAAAAGAAATACGATATATATATATATATATATATATATATATATATATATATATATATATATATATATATATATATATATATATATATATATATATATATATATATATATATCCTGCAGTAATATCCTGCTATCACAAAAACATATAACACGGATAAAGTCTTGCAATGGCTGAAGATTTTTATCGTTTTCTTTATATATTTCCTTTATTTTTCTCTATTTGCATTTATTTTTTATGGTATATTATGGCGTAAACAAGAATATTCACCATAAAAACAATTTAAATTTATTCTATTGGTTTTCTTTTGTTTTGGTGTCAGGTGTTCAGAGCTGTGTGTGTGTGTGTGTGTGTGTGTGTGTGTGTGTAATAATAATAATAATAATAATAATAATCATAGAAGAACAAAACCAACAACATACAGGAGACTAACATTAGAATATACAGGCAGTTAGTAGTATCCTCCCCCTTGTACTTAGTGAGTGTACTGCCAGGGGCGCCACTCCCTCCCTTACAATACGCCATCACAGCAGAAAATTTTAGAACATGTTTGAGATGTGGAGAGATATTGTTGACGTCTTGCTGTGTGATGCTGATCTTTATCTCGACCGCAGCAGGGAAGAGGAGGAGAGGGAGGGCGTAGGGCAGGGTGATGAGAGGTGGGTCGGGGGAGGAGAGGGCCAAGGGCGATGAGGGAGGGGGAAAGGTGGATCTGAGAGGTGATAGAAGGGGGTCTACCTGAGAAGGGTGGCTCTGGAGGAGGAAACTGGGGGGATTTGATGGGGAGAGACCTGGGAGTGGACAGTGGGATCCTGAGGGACAGAGGGAACCTGAGGGTGAACAGAGGGACCTGGGAGAGAAGAGGGATCTGGGGAGGGACAGTGGGATCTGAGAGGTACAGAGGGACCTGGGAAGGACAGGGTGACCTGAGAGGGACAGAGGGACCTGGGAGTGGACAGAGGAACCTAGGGAGGGACAGGGTGACCTGAGAGTGGACAGAGGGACCTGGGAGGGACAGAGGGACCTGGGAGTGGACAGGGTGACCTGAGAGTGCACAGAGGGACCTGGGAGTGGACAGGGTGACCTGAGAGTGGACAGAGGGACCTGGGAGTGGACAGGGGGACCTAGGAGGGACAGAGGGATCTAAGACCTGTACTACATTCAGTATACTACTAAATTATCAGTACAACTTTCGTCACTATTTTATTTCCAAACCTCGTGTGGGAGAATAAATGAGACATTTAAATACCCTTTTCATTGTAACTTAAGGACAACATATTACTGTAAGAAGTTTTGAAACCCCCGAGTCTTGGCAGGAGGGTTCGAAGCCTCATAGTTACGGGCACTAATGAAACAAAACTTGTGTCAGACTTGGAAAGAAAAAGTTATAGGTACCGTGATGGTCTCCAAGCCAGGTGCATATGTGTGGAGGTTTAAATCAGTAAAGGAGCTGTACATTAGGGAAAAAAATGTCCTCTATAAACAAAGCCACATTTGTTTATGATATGTTTAGATGTATTTGTTTCGCTTCGAATTTGATATTGATAGTTATTATTAACATTATAAACCTGACCACAAGTCTTGGATACTCTGATACAACCCGACGACCATCACCACTAGTGCTATCATCATCATCATCACTACCTCCTCCAACTTCCATCACCACCACCACCTCCTCCTCCTCCTCCAACCACCACCAGCACCCTCTCCTCCAACCACCACCTCCTCCTCCTCCAACCACCACCACCATTACCTCCTCCAACCACCACCACCACCAATACCATCACCACTACCGCCATCACCGCCATCGCTAACATCGCCGTTGCCGTCACGTCGCCGTCGCCAATATTGCCGTCGCCACCACCACCAACACTAGTCCTACCATCACTATCACTACCTCCTCCACCAAATACCCAATCACCAAGAACACTTATCACCAATACCACCGACACTATCACCTTCACCTCCAAAACCGCCACCACTACCACCACTACCACCATCCCTACCATACACCTAGACAGCTTCACCAACGCCTCGGGTAAAAGACGAAAAATACACCTCAACTTTGTCCTCCACCATTCTTCAGGATTGTGTTTCCATGCATTGTGGAAAACTTTAGTCCAGGTTCCTCCATTGACACGAAGAGCCGCTCGACACTCTCCCTCCCCGATATGTCCTCATTTTTAAGTTGTTTTCCCTTCGGCGATGTTCATTGAAGTGGAGTTTGTAGTTATATCAGCGAGAAATATAAGTGATGTTTGTGTATGGTGATGAATGTACAGCAACCTTGATCATGTTAAGGAGTTGTGGTGAGGACAGTGATTGGTGATGAGAGAGTTATGTATTTACTTGTTGGGTTATTTTGTCGTTTAGTGGTGAGAGGGAGAGAACTGGACCTGGTGAGAGAGGGGGAGAGCTAGTGAGAGAAAGGGAGAGAGAGCTGGTGAGAGAAGGGGGAAGAGGACGGGAGCTGGTGAGAGAAAGGGAGAGAACTGGAGCTGGTGGGAGAGTGGGGGAGAGCTGGAGCTGGTAAGAGAGAGGGAGAACTGGTGAGAGACGGGTAGAGAACTGGACCTGGTGAGAGAGGGGGGGGAGAGCGAAAGAGAGCTGGTGAGAGAAAGGGAGAGAACTGAAGCTGATGAGAGAGAGGGAGAGAGCTGGAGATGCGGTGAGAGAGAGAGAGAGAGAGAGCCTTGTAGACACCGCGACGCTCTCTCTTGATAAGATAAGAAAAAATACTTTGGCCATATGATTAGGGATGAAGGGATGATCATAGATATATTAATGAGTATAACTATGAGGGTATGAGGGCCAGGGGACGGTAATAGATTGGGATGGATGACTAAAATTATAAGCTGTGGTCCTCTTGAGACACAAAATCTGAGAGGATTGCTGAAGACCACCTGAAAATGTTCGGAGTGGAGGACCATTGACGTTGATGTTATACTGTATATTACTGCTCTTCAATAACTAAGGCCATTAAGCTAGTATTCTAAATTAATTAATAAACAAATCAACAAGAAGTAGGAATTAAAAAAGATATAGCCATTATCTCTCAGCCGTGAGTATTACAACACGACTGCCTGGTTGATAGACAGATAATACAACACTATTAATTTACAATCAACATCTATTTCCTTTATTAATTCTACTTTAAAACGTCAACAACTTTTCTTCCTCGTTGTTTTAATATTGTGGGTAATATTCCTCGTGCGTCACTTAATATCGGTGAACGGAAATAAAGTCACAGTAAAAAAGTCACATTGACAACACATTATATATATGATGGCATTACACGTAGGTTAGGTTAAGTTAGGTTAAGTTAGGTTAGGTGGGGTTGGGTTAGGTTAGATTTTTTCCGTGCCTTTTTTTCTTGTGACTTTTTTTTTCCTGGATTCATAATATCATCGGTCCACAAGCAGCGTCATCAAGGTCCCGCACATCACAGGCGGGAACACTAGCTGAAATACGGCAAGAAAATCGCCTCAAGATTTGTATTTACAATCTTTATGGCTGTAGGTGCGACGGCCGAGGGAAGCCATTGCTAAAATATGTAAATAAATACCGCCCGAACGCTCAAGGTGCAAGAAATGGAGCAAACTCACAATTTCCTCGGCATTGGTATACCATCAGCGCTTATTTATTTCTAAATTACATTCAATATAAGATGTTTCCATTGTTGGGGCGGAGGATGACGGCGAGTTTTGAGCCAAGGACGTGGAGAGGCAATCACTGGTGTTGATGGCAGAGTATTGACGATGATACGGAGAGGGTAGCGCTGCTCGTGGCGTGTGTGTCTGTGTGTGTAGACAGACAGACAGACAGACAGACAGACAGACAGACAGACAGACAGACAGATAGATAGAAAGATAGATGGATGATAAGACAGATATATACATAATTCCTCACACACACACTCAGCATATACCTAAATCACGCGCACCTACAGTGATTTACTTGCACAATATATATATATATATATATATATATATATATATATATATATATATATATATATATATATATATATATATATATATATATATACCCTGTATAAGTGTATATGTCTTGAATAAAGACGAAAGCTAAGGTGCTCCTTTGTTTCCCTTTTCCCTGTGTGATTTTATCAAGATTTATCTTATCCACGTTTTCATTGTGGATCTACATGAAATATATATATATATATATATATATATATATATATATATATATATATATATATATATATATATATATATATATATATATATATATATATATATATATATATATATATATATCCTGCAATCCTTACAAGTGAATCAAATATAGATTGATACTGAATAAGAAATAACTACACACTATATACATATATGAACACAAATATACATATAGGTTGACAGAAATAGAAAAATATGGCATATTTTCATGCAGTATGAGAATATCCTTATACCTTTTCAATTGCCCGCCGGC